CAGTGAATTTACGCACTAACGCGTCTTTTAACTTTTCGTACCTGTCACCGGCCGACGCTGAATCGATAGCAGCAGACGCAGTCGCGATCAAGTCCTCGTCCAAATTACTAATCGCGCACCTGTATTTATCCGCGTCATCAACAATATTCTTAGCAACAAAGTGCTCCTCTAAAGTATCAAACCAAATACGCGGCGCGCTTCTCCAAAACGAGCGAATTCTGATCTCTGGTTTCTGCGGAGTGCGCAGAGCACCCGATAACAATGCTAACTGCTCGACCGCGGAGGGTCCTTGCCGCATCGCGTCATCGCTTGTAAAATGCTCAGCAAATAAAGCTTCGACACGAGAGATCATGTCCTCTCTAAATCTATCAAGGTCCTCGCTAGATACGGTGGTCTGCGTGGCGTCTGCCATGGTTGCAAAATTACCGGTCTCTGACACCGTCTCACTATGAACCGTGATCGGACTACTGCCGCTACGCAAATTATATGGCGCTGGCTTGACAGGTGATCGACCCAATCCCATTAAAAAATCGAAAAATAAAAAATTCTAAAGCAAGAGAAATTTTAATCCCAAAAAACAAAAATCGATACGGACGAACACGCTCGAGGTAGGTGGCGAACCAGCGCAAAAAATCAAAACGTCAATTCAAAAATATTGAATGCTATGCAATTGCATAAAATGAACGACGAAATTCTCACGGGCACGGTACGAGACAGCAACACGTAAATCGACTCGAAAAAATATCAAACAACTCATCAAGAGTTATTCACCACGATGGCACTCGTGAAATAAATGTACAAAATACCAAAATTCAATCGCGTTTACGCGAAAAGTCTCTAATGAAAAATATCGGGCCGCGAGCAACAGGTCAACTAATTTTATAAAAATCAAACGAATCGCAGTATCGGCGAGCACATCACCATGATCTCACACACGTCGACCTAATGGTACACACCTTAATTAATTAATATGAGAGACGAGTCAGGCAATACAACCTTGTAGAGGCTTTATGCCAAGATTCGAATTTTTATCAAAAAACTACGTTATGTTCACAAACTGACATTACGGTAAACGATACTCTAGTGTACAATGACGACTTGCCATGAAGTCGAAACTTCAAAAAGGCGAGAAGCTGCACTGAGGATTTCGAATGCAGCATGTCATCAAAAAAGAAAAAAACAAATTATTTAAAGTGCCTGACTCACACTCTCGCACGAATGTATGTTCATGCATCAGCAATCTTATAACTAGCATGTACGTATGTCATATAATATTAGAAAATATAAATAAACATTGTATGTGGGAACGGTGAACCATTCAATTTCATTACTCTTATATTGGCTCGACGTGAGCACACAAGAAAAAACGCACAAGTACCTTGTTGCTGACTCGATGCAATGAAAGCAGTCTGCTACGCAGCCTCTGACAGGCTTGGTTATGTTGATCAGCGCACGTGAAGCAGGGAGAGACGGCTCAAAATCCACGACGCTCGATTCGCACGCTGCTGCCGTGCTGCTGTCGATGTCGTAGCTGCGCTGCTTCGCTGTTGTTACGTCACGCTGCTATGTTGCCGCGCTGCCGCCGCGCCGCCGCCGATGTCACGCTGCTACCGTCGCGCTGTTGCCGATGTCACGCTGCTACGCTGCTGCGCTGCTGCCGCGCCGCTGACGATGTCACGCTGCTACGCTGCTACCGTCGCGCTGTTGCCGAGTCGTCGCCGCCACCGCAGCGCTGCCGATGTCACGCTGCTACGCTGCCACCGTCGCGCCGTTGCCGATGTCGTCGCCGCTACCGCCGCGCCGCCGATGCGACGTTGCTCTATTGGCGCGATGTTGCTCCGCTGCTGCGATGCCGCTCGACGGCCGCTGATGAGGCCGGAAAACGGAAGTCGGGGCAAGATGGCGGTTGCCGCGTCGCAAAAACGCGGGATATGACCCGTTCGCCGCTCGCGCGCCTGACGACGCCGAGCCAACGGCCGATGAAAATGGCGGCCTCGATGCCGCGACGACGAAACTGTCGTTGAGCGGTTGCCGCTCCGATGTTGGAAGAAGCTAGCGCCGATCCACGTCTCGATGTCGAAAGCGGCCGTTGAAATGCGTCTCGTCGTTGCTGCTGCTCCGAAGCTGCGTGTCACGTGCCGTTAGAAAAAGGCTGCGATGTATAAAGATGGCGGCAATGGTGGTGCAAAATTTTCGTCGCTCGGCGGGAAAGCAGCCTCTGCATAAAATTCGGTTTTCGCCGTAATTCACGTGTCCAGCAAAATTTCGTTGAGATCGGAGCGCGTCGTCGCCGCGACGAGATGAAAACTTAACCCGTTGAAAATGCCAAGAAGTGTACCTCAAAATTTTTCGGCTGACTCGCCAACCGCCAACACAGCTTACTTTGCCAAGGTCGCGATCCTCTGCTTCGCAGCTGCCTCGCCGAAGGTTTTCTCGGTTAGCCTCCGTCCCCGTCTACGTGTTCGTAGTTTCTTCAGGTAGCCTCGATGATGATGAGGAGTACCGTCTCGTTGAAGGTGGAGAGTGCTGGGCGAGATGTAGGTAGCCCGCGATGAAAAAACTCACACACTTCGTCACTTTAGGTAATCGGAGCAAAAACTCTTCTCCGAGTACCGAACGTCGCAGGTCACCAGTGTAAGTTCTTGTCGTTGGTCGCTCTATCTGGGTACTCACACAAACCAGACAGGCGGTTACAGAGATAGAGGAGAGAAGGGCGGTTAAATGAATAGGCCGAATTTGAGTGCTTAGTTGGGCTTGTATTGTTGGGTTTCGGAGCTCGCTGTGAAGCGACCAGCTCGGGCGACTGCTCTGAATGATCTGAGCTACAGTGTTGTGCGATACGCGCTTACGGCGCTTTAAACTTGGTATGTTCGAGGCGTCAAGTCGACGCCGTCATATAATGGCTAGTGACGGAGCGTTTCCCCTACAGAACCATTCTCCTTGCCCGTCGCTTAATCTCCACAGTCTTCTGAGAACTAATCTGCGTATAGGTATGCAGGGAATGTTTTATTGAAATGTTTCATCATCATTGATATTAAAATTTTTCTATGATCGCTTCTGTGATTACCTTAACAATTTTTGAAGATTACCCATGTACCATGGTCCATCTAATATTTCTTGTTACAACTTTTTATCGGATTTATGAGAAAAAATTGATTCTCAATATTTGTAGCATTCATCATGACATTTTGGGGAAATAGAATGTTATATGTTTTATAAACTGTATTCTCTTTATAGCTATACGTATTAGTCCCCAGAAAACTGTGGAGATTTTGGCGACGAGCAAGGAGAATGGCTCCATCAAGACATGAAACATATGGAGCAGCAATATCAAGGTAGATAGGATTTGCGGTGATGGTTGGATGAACGCAAACGACAACCATTACGCCGATCGTTTGAAGTATAAAAGATGCGTTACGAAAACACAAGACAAAAAACGCATGCATAATTAAAAATATTTTCTAAATATTTTTCTTTCTTGTATTAATTTTTCATTGAAATGAACTCAAAGGTGACTTCATATCTGTCATCTGACTTCAGATTTAAATTCAGTATCCTTAAAAACCTATGAATGAGAATTTTCAGATTTTTTTAAGTTTTTTTCATGATCTGATTTTAAAATGACCTTCAAATGACCTTTACATGGCCGGATACAGTCAAAATGACCTCTGATTCAGATTGAGCGACCCTCAACACATAAGTGTGATTTTTTTGGATATTTTTACTGAATTCTTGTAGTTTGACCTTCAAATGATCTTGAAGATGACCTCCTAAAGGCCATCCGACCTCGGATTTGGATTCAGCATCCTAAAAAACCCATGTATGAATTTTTTCAAATTTTTTTCCACTTTTCCATTATTTGACCTTCAAATGACCCCTAAAATGAGCCAATCTTGAAAAACCGACCCCGGATTCGAATTCAGCGACCCCAAAAACATATAGTCCACTAGGTCCGGTGGGTGGATTTGAAATTTTTTTTTGTGTAGCTGTGTAATCGATAATAAAGTCAGTACTTTGCTGTTTCACTTTTCTCCACCATTTCTACGCTGAGCTCTTTGTCATGTGTTTTTATATTGTTTGTAGAAGAGGCTTTTTATCGTTATCTTCTATGGATCAGTATAGTCCAATCAGTAAGAGAAGCAAATTCAATAAAGCTATTCTTATTAAACGGCTAGAATGTTTTATAAACAAATTAAAAGACAAGTTCATCGTTATCCTGGAACCTGACATACCTTCATTCGGGATCAGGACTACTCATCCGCGACCATTAATCCTAGGCGACTATTCATCCTCACTAAAAATTTTATTTTATTTAATTTTTCTCTCGTTTCCTTCGATTTCGGCATTTGTGTGAGTGACTAAATGTGATATAGTGTGATCTCAGCTCACTCCCGAGCAGATTATTTACCTGATTGATATTATTTCCGTGTGTATGTGTTTGTGTGAGAGTATCAACATTATATTATGTCTTATTTAAGCTCATACGCCCGAGCAGCTCATTTACCTGTACTTGCTTTTATTACTGTACGCTCATTCATGCTCTGTGATTCTGTGCAGTAATGTTGTTATATAGCGTAACTATGGTGTTGAAATTTGTTTTAAGCCAACAAATTGCTCGTTTTTGATTCTTGTTATCGTGATGATATAACATAATAAATCGTGTTATATATTTTCTTAATTTGTTTACATAAGATTTATTAATAATTATTCTCAATTGTTTTTTTGAGACGATTTGTCTTCAGGATGAGTTGTCCCGGATGAATTGTCATGATGAGTTGTCTAAAGGATGAAATGTCGGTAACCCCCTTCATTCACTTTACATTTAAATATTTACAGCCATCTTTTGTTTATCAGAGACTGAATTTCGTTAAAATAATCACTTGAATTTACTTTATAAAGTTACTTTGATATGCAATATACGTTGTTGTCTACATAATAGTTTGGTGCTTTCAAAATAAATTTATATGAATTTAATTAAAATTAATATTTCTTGTTCACAGGTGACTCATTGGCAACACTCGGGCTTTCACGCTTATTTTCCATCAGGGAATTCTTTTCCTTCGATTCTTGCAGATATGCTTTCGGATGCAATAGGTTGCATAGGATTTTCATGGGCATCTTCTCCAGCATGTACAGAGCTTGAAAGTATTGTTTTAGACTGGTATGCAAAAGCTTTGAATCTACCTTCGATTTTTTTATCAGATTTCAAAGAAGATTCAGTTGATGTTTGTAAAGGTGGTGGCGTAATCCAAGGTTCTGCGAGTGAATGCATTTTAGTAACCATGTTAGCTGCTCGAAGTCAAGCACTTCAAATGTTAAGAAATGAAAATCCAACTGCATCAGATGCTCACTTTTTATCTCGACTTGTAGCCTATTGCTCAACAGAATCACATTCATGTGTTGAAAAAGCTGCAATGATATGTTTGGTAAAACTCCGTATTTTAAATGCAGATGATCAAAGCTCATTGAGAGGACATACCCTTGAAACAGCTATACTGGAAGATCTAAGCAAAGGATTAATACCTTTTTATGTTTCAACAACTTTGGGGACAACGGGTTGTTGTGCTTTTGATAAATTGATCGAAATTGGACCCGTGGTGAAAAGATTTCCTGGAACATGGCTGCACGTTGATGGAGCCTATGCTGGAAACTCTTTTATTTGCCCAGAACTGCGATATTTGATGGATGGTATCGAATTTGCAGATTCATTTAACACTAACCCTAATAAATGGTTACTTGTTAACTTTGATTGTTCGTGTTTATGGGTTCGAAATCGCCTTAAACTTACTCATGCTTTAGCTGTAGACCCTTTATATTTACAACATGCTAATTCAGCAGAATCAATTGACTATCGACACTGGGGAATTCCTTTAAGTCGACGCTTTCGTGCTCTTAAATTATGGTTTGTTTTGAGATCTTATGGAATTTGTGGTTTGCAAAAGTATATAAGAAACCATATTATGTTAGCAAAACAATTTGAAAACAAACTTCGTTCTGACAACCGATTTGAAATTCTAAGTACAGTTTATGCAGGTCTTGTTTGCTTTCGTCTAAAAGATAGCGATGAAATCAATCAAGATCTCTTAGCAAACATTAATGCTTCTGGGAAATTGCATATGATTCCGGCCAGAGTAAAAGGTAAATATGCCCTTCGATTTTGTGTGGTTCATGAAAATGCAAATGAATATGAAATCAACCGGGCTTTGCAAGTCATTTCGGATCATGCAAATGAGTTATATATTTCATTTTCCGAAATAAATCATAACAAGGATCAACAAAACCCATTACATAAAAATCCAAACAGCCCCATGACCTTAGATAAAAAGCTTGTTCGTAAATTTAGTTTTACTCGAAGTGTCACGCGTGACACATACAAAAGATCTCGATCAAAAACTAGTTTACACGATGGAGCCACTCCTATTACTGTAGTTGAAGACCTTCGTCAGCAGGTTGATCTTATAGAAGAAGATGTTTTTTGCGATAGCCGATGAAGCAAAATTAAATATTCAAATGTATAATTGCAAATTACGATTGATCAACAAATTTTTTGTTGATAAATGATCAAAATATCATTGTCATTTGCGAATTATAATATTAATTTAATGTACAACATTTTACTTAGCAACAATGAGAAAAATAGTTTGTAAGAAATGATATAAATAAATAATGTTTTAAAAAAATATTATCGATTAATGTAACGTGAAATAATTTTATTCCTATGTAACAATATCTGTATTTTGAATTTTTGAAATTATTTATTTATTATTTATTTAAGTATACAAAATATGTCTTCGATGTCTAGGTACCTATTGACGGTCTGAACGTATGACGGTAAAAACGTCAAAATTAGTACAAAAAATGTAGATTAAACTTAAGTTTGCCAAATTATTTCTGAAACAAATATGGAAAAGTGCAATGTTTTTATTTTCTGAAAGTAATCACTTTGAAGTAAGCAAAACCACTGGGGCGATGTTATTAATTAATTCGATTTTAACTCATTGGTGGAACATTATGAAAAAATGGGCAAAACTAGCAAAACATAGTATATTTCTTAACGGGTGCAGCTAGGGTATAACGAGTCTTGTTAAAAACCCATTTCTGCCCCAGTTAATGATACTATTGCTTCCTCATAGAGGAAGTTATACGATAGACTTAAAAATGAAATCTGAAACCAGACGTCGTAGGAAAATTTGAGTTACATATTTGGAAACTACATTGAATTACCAACAAATTTTTTCAGACAAAAGTCTAAAATTAGCGGCAAAGTGGCGTTTTTTAGGTTAGAGTGGGAAAAGTCATTTCGAATGCGTGAGAAAATTGTTTAAGATTGGATTAAACTCTTGTAAGAGACAGAAAATATCATTTGTACGTGCCTATATTGCGCATATTTTCTTTTTGTATAGATTGTTCTTTCTATTACACTTTCCTTTTTGAAAATGGCCTGCAGGGGGCTAGAGCCCGTGCGCCGGAAGAGATTACTACTATACCTCCCACCCTACTGTCTCGCATTTGCCCAGACCCGAAGATCTGTGGGGCAAGGGAAACCTGAGGGTATACGTAGTGCATATGCACTACACCCTCCTTCTCCATCCTCCAGGAAAAAACCCGCCCCGAGACAGGCGGAGCACATAGGTTCTCATCCAGCTAAATGACAATCAGAAAAATCCAATTGTGCTCACTAGGATTTGAACCCACGGCTCCTCGAGCAGCCTTTGTTTCTGTAGCTAGCACGCTATAACCACTGAGCCAACGACCGCTCTCGATTGAACTATAAAATTGTTAGCTTGCACGAATACTTGACGTAACTTATTTAATTCATATCATAGACATCTAATAGATTATAATTAAAAATGTAAAATTAACAATTTCAAAATTTTAAAAAAAATTTCAAAATTAGGTAATTAGATGCCGAAAGTACAAAAGCAGATTGTCAAACTTGCTTTACTTAATAATACTTTCGAAAAAAAGAATTATCTTTAAAAAAAGTAAAGTATAGAGAGAAAAGAGTTATTGAAATTTTTGATTTATAAAATTGAAATAATTGTTTTACAGTAAAATTATCTTTGACTCATAGAAAAATTCTTCGTACAAGTTCACAATTAAAGAAATTTTGTGATGTTACATTTATATAATATGGAAATCCATCGGCTGTATGTGAACCATTAATGTTCCATTCAACTTCAATATTTTTTCCATTAAAATTGATTTAAAGTGGACAACCTTGCAATCTTTTGTCCCCAATGTTGTTAACATGCTTACTTACTTCATGAATGCCACTGTATAGTTTTAAATTGAATTAGAAAATATTAGAGTTCAAATTAAATGAGTGTAAGGATTAGTGGAAAGAAAAGGTCAAAGAATAACTTTCTTTACACTCAGTGGATATGATTTCAACACAAAGCTAAACTTTATTGTAATGCCAAAGAAGTAAAAAGGTTAAATGCAAGATGCACTCATATCAAAGTATGTATTGTGAATGAACGCACTGATTGTGCCTGCAAAAAGGCCCTCTAACACTCCCTCCCTGTTTTGCATTTCTCATTCACTTATCGGCGCCTGAAAGAGAAACAAAAAAAACAAAGAAATGGAAAATTTCATTAATCAAAATATATATAAACAACGTGTATTCTACTTTGAAAAATCTAAAATTCTAGTTCATTTAAGATTTTATTTTTAAGATATTCATGTGTTTGAGTTGAGAGAGGTTTCGTCATTATACCAGCTTCATTCCTTTTCATATTAACCGAGCCTAATATACGTTTTTCTTCCATTGCGCAATTCTTCACGTAAACCCCGTGTGTTTCTGCCATGTGCTTCTTAACTTCTGTTCTCTCACACTCCTCTAGGAATGCAATTATGCAGTTCAGGGGATCATCAAAGTTTTTCAGCTTATGCGAGCCATCCATTTGAGTGCAGTCTAGCTCAGACTTATTATCGCACCAAATCCGGGCTGGAAATTTCGTTTTTCCTAGTATATCTCGAATTGCCTAAACTAATGATATCAGTTCTTTGGCTGATTCAGTACATTATAACGGAAAGTTGATCCGTAGTGTCACATTACGCGAATATGATTACAAAAAGTAATAAAAGGTAAATTGAGTACTCCCGCGTAATGTAACAATTGATTGTCGCACACGTGTTCGGGAATATAAAAAAATGTGTGAGAAATACTAGGCATGGTAATTTTTCTGTAACATCAATCTGATATCAAAGAAACTTTAGTCCGCGCCATGAACCAAGAGTATAACATGCATTCACGCTGGAATAAAAATCAACTAAGTAAATATAGTAATGGAGATGCGGCCATGTGGCCAGCTGATTAAATAAGCTGATCATATGGAACGTTCATAAATTCTAATAAAGATATCCTTTTTACCTTTCTCATTCACATTGACCAGAATACTCGGTAATAAACGACGCTATCGTACAGCACGAGTTTACGATCAAACATTGTCGGTTACGATCCATATGCAGTCTGAGGGGTCACGTGTTCGGAATTTATCTCATTTCTTTTGATAAATTTAGAATTAGGAAGGAACGGGTGAGAAGTTAGATGGTGAAAGGGAATGAACCTCATTGATATAAATAGGCCGCGCTTCCGAGGAATCGGCCTTGTTACCTAGAGTCAGCCGACCCGTACACAGCTCGTGTAAGTGTCGATACATTAAAATCCTACGAAAATCTAAGTCAAGCTCTAGAATCATCTTTGAAAAGTTAAAGTGCGAATAGTTTGTGAGAAGTAAATTCATTGCTATTTACGCGAGGCGTTCAAGTGATTCAACTCCTCTGAAGATCATTTTGGTTCTCCATCGTCCGGGGCAGCGTACGAGAGGGACATCACCGAGCTAAGAGGAGGCCAGTAAAACGTGTGTGTGTGTGTGATAAAATCAAGTACGAATAAATCAATGTGAGTCTTTTAAAAATTATATAACTTTGTCAACATATCATTATTTCAAATAAACTCCTAACCA